CCCCCCCCCCCTCTCCCCTTCCCCTTATTTTCTGAGTCTTCATCGACTATCATGAAGCTGAGGAATATTCTAGCGCTTGTTCTGACCAGCCAAAATTGCCCCTCCCCCACCTCAATTCTCCGTCGGTTTTGGCGCTAGTCCACCAATCATTACTAAAACTCGGCTGCTTTAGACGAGTTTTAGTAATGGTTGACGGTTCAGTTGTGGTAATGGTAAGAAATGTATACGACTTAATGGACTGGGGCATTGCTCACCGTCGTAATATGTCTTACGAAATTTTACAACTTTTACTAATTTCTTAGTATTATTTGCTTTTCTTCCTACTTTAAAATATTTTTCTATCAGAACGCGGGGAAAGGGGGAGGGGGTTCATATCGGAAGAACGAGATTGGAGCGTTGACTGGAAAGAAGCTGAGATCTTATCTGAAGGCAGCGGGTAGGGCACTGTGGACTCCCAGTGATATCAAATAGCTCTCGGCCTCGGATGTCCCTTTTTTTGCGGATTTTTTCAGATTTTTTTTGTGTTTTTTTTAGATGAAACGCACGAACGGGTTATGTTTGTTGGCAAAATTTGCCCGCATGCATTACTACACAGCCCGGAAGGCATTCTGCCATGCTTCAGAACCACTGACAGCAGCAGCAACTTCTATTTCCGGTAAAATTTTGGTTTTTTTTTTAAATTTCCTTTTTTTTAAACTACTTTTTTTTCCTTAAGTTTCCTTTTTTTCCAAGTTTTTCTGCTAATTTTTAAGTTTCTTTTTTTTAAATTTCTTTTTTTTCTTAAATTTCCTTTTTTTTTTCAAGTTTTTCCACTAATTTTTCGCAGTTGTGTTTCTATTGGAGAAACCATTTTTAGGATTTTTTTTGTCTTAAATATCCTTTTTTTTCAAGTTTTTCTACTAATTTTTTCGCAATTGTGCTTCTGTTGAAGGAACCATTTTTAGCATGTTTTTGACGTTTGTTGAACATTACCATCTTGTCTTAAAAGCCACCACTTTTGGTCCATCATGAGGTCCCTCATCAACCAAAAGGATGTGGTTTTTTTAAAAAAGAAATACTTATTTTTATTTTTGCTTTGTCCATCTGTTGTCTCTCATTCTTGCCATAGCCTAGCTGTCTTTTCGGACAATTATAAAAAGTAAAATAAGCATTTCTTCATTTTTTTTTTCTGTAGCGACAACATCGTCGAAAAAGGAAAAACCGGTGCGAAAGAAGCCATCATGGGAGGAACGAACCAAAACACTGCTGGTCAGGGAACTGAAAACGGAGCATAAACGATACAGTGAATTGATGAAACGAAACACGGCGCAGTGCAATCTGATAAGGTAAATTTGATTTCTATTTACGGTAAAATTTTGGCTTTTTTTTAAAATTTCTTCTTTTTTTTTACACGCTGATACTTTGATTTATACTACTGTTTTATCG